GATCCTCTTCTGGTTGGACATGATCACAACGTGGTACCTGTGGGTTGCGGTCAGCTTGGTTGCCGTCGTGGAAGAGACATGCCACCTGCCCATCTGCATTCAGCTCCTGGAGTCTTGTCGGTACATTGGGGGAAAACCACTTCCAATCTGAAGAGTCCCGCGGAAAGGTGTTGCCGGAGGCTGTCACGACCAAAGTAGAGTCCTGCGTTGTGGCGTCGTCAGTCTGTCTTCGAATCTTCGTGAAAAGCCAGAAGAGCTTACAAGATCGAAGGCTGCCACTTTGGCCTTCTCTCTTCGTGCAGGTTGTTCCCCTGGACCGGTTGCGTACTTTCCAATGACGAGGCTATTGTTGACGACCCTCCATGTGATCTTCTCAGGCTTTTTCTGAGACGTAGGTGTGAAAAAGGAGGCCACAGTACGCTCTGAGCCCGTAAGCCGATGCTATTGCAGTCCTGTAGATATCTTGGAAGACTTACTTGTGACTGTTGATTCGACTTTTCTTTTGAGCGGGGGCGGAGAGATGGCTCTGGTGGGCGAGGCCGCTCTTTTGGCTGCCCGGACATTATCCCGAGTGTCGCTAGCAAACTGAGAATCTTGACGGTAGTATGGTCTGGTTGATGTGGTTGAATTTTACGAGAGAGTGACTGAATCTGGTCCCGCGGGGTTATGGGCTGGAAAACTGACCGAAACCCGGCATCAGATGGTCAACAGATAGTCGATGAAATCAAGAAAATAGTATATGCAGCAAGATCCAGAAGCTAGAGGGGTCAAACAGGTTGTGTTGCGTTACTTGACTAAGATATATCAGAATTGGGTATAAGTTGAGGTTGACGCGCCCGCACGCGTAAATGAGGTTCACGAAGTCACATGGTCTATATAAGTTCAAAATGCCTGAAGTAGTGGTAGACGGCCATAGGCACCAGCAACAAAATCTAGCCTCAAAATTTATCGGATTATCATTGCTATCTCGTTTTTACTTGGGAATGGCACACAGCCCTGGGAAGAATTTTAATCCAAGGTGAATAGACGACGCCGGGTATCATGCTAGTATAACTCTCAAAACATAGACATGAGATCACTTTGCTCGAGTATCCAAGGACAACCGATCAGCTTGTTCCAGACGAACAGCGGATTTCAATTGCTCCCTTAGCCCAAAGAGATGCTGAGAGGCAATCTTCATGGTCTCCTGATTGCCGCCATCCTGGACTGTGATGGCGGCCTGTAAGACGTAACCTCCACTCCTGTCAAGTGGTGTCATTTCATTTAGAGCTGGCAATTGCCGCCGAGGCTCTTGAGATTCAGTGGGGTAGTGTAGGACGCGATGTAAAAAGATGACAATGTCGTTATGAATGAAGATATCGCCCTCCACTGCATACTCGGTGACAAAGCTGTATCGGAGTCAACCAATAGTTTCTAGGATCTAAAACAAGGAGATAATGACTGACTTGTACCCCCAGGCATTCATCGGGACTGTAATATCGCCTTTAGGAAGACTAGCACTGGCCATCAGCCGGGCTGTGACGGCCGACCGGGTGGCTGCCTCGGGGATATCCCTAAACTCCAATCTCCAGGGTTGGTTCTCGTAATCATAGTAGTGCGTACGGACGGACGATTTCTCATCCGTCCCTGACATGTGTGCATCTTGGTCGGCGACCGGTGAAGCAGGTGCGCCAAAATCAGCCTCGGAAACAGGGCCAACGACCTGGGTGTAGAACATGCCACCATTGAGCATCTTGTTCAGTCGCTGCAATTCTGCGCCCTGCAGATCCTGACTGGCACCTACACGGACATTGACCAGTCCGGGTTTACGGTATGCTTTGAAGACCAGTCGTCTTTCTAGGCGATGTTGAGGTTGCATGGCAGTCAACCCTGCCAGCTGTTGGAGTAACTCACGATGCTGATGCGCCGGTACCGAGGCGAAAAGCAACAGCTCATGCATGATGCGTCATACGAAGACGAAATAGGGCCGGGTTGGTGGTCGAATGATATAAGGCGATGGTCACTGATATGCTCAGATCACGGGAATCACAAGCTGCCAACAACCAGAGTAGCCTAGCCGCCTGAGGCATTCAGTACCGGTGCCTGACAGTCCGGATCCGTCGGCGTTAGGAACGGGCAAAAAAAAGTTCAAAAAGCGCGACGGGTAAAGTCGGGCAGCGGGAGGCGGAATGCACCGAATGTTCGCCTGAGGGTCGCGAGTCGCGAAAGGTTCACGGACATTGTGAGTCCGTGGGCTGATCGTCCAGTTGGAACCGTGAACAGGTCAACGGGAAGCGGATTAACTAAGTTTCCGGCTATCAGCAAGGTGATGTGGTAAAAGAGTTTGATAATCTTACCTAAGACTGATACCGTTCTTGGTCATGAGGAGGTACTTTCGTGGATGATGATACTTCGACAACTTTTCATATGTCCGACGAACACATGTCTCTAACTCTCTCTAGCGCATTCGGTGACTTGTCTACCTGAGACCGACTGATATGGACGGTGGTATGATTTGAGAATACGACCTAGTCCGAGTGGTCCCTACAACTGTTTGGTACTTTTGATGTGATACGTTGCAACCCCATTGTAGATCATCCACATGTTCGGTCTCCGAGACGAGGGGAAGCGGTACTGGTGAGGACTGAGGAGCAACGCTTAAGGCATGAGAATGAGGAATAGGCTCACCGAGAATGCGGGTTGGGTAAGGATTTGGGGAAGATCTCGGTAGTTCAATTCCCATATCAGTGGTAGTACAGAGTACCTGTACTCCGTAGTAATTATGTAGTTAGTACACAAGTTTTGCAACTCGTATCCGAGCGTAGTTGGAGACCATTGGAGTACGGAGCTAGAATGAGCTGATCTGACGCCGCCATGGGGTGATCCCCTCAACAACCCATCCTCGACCGAGTCTACCTGTTCACCTGCAGCCTAAATGAGGTCTCCCGGCGTTCCTTTCCAATAAGAGATCAGCAGAGGAAAAATTACTGAGAAAGGCGTGAGAATCCTCCTCCGCAAATTCCGAGGGACCCTTGCATGAGTGCGGAGGAGGTCATTCAAGTGCATATACTGTGTAGTAACAGAGACTGAGGAACAGAAGACTATACAATGATAAGTTACTGGATCTGGTGTCTTCACAGAGTAAAGTCTAAGGAAAAGGTGTCTGAATTCTCTCTCTTTTCCCCGCTGGACGCAAAAGGCCGGTGGAGAGGGACACTCCCGCTGTGCTTGTGCTTGGGAGGAGAGTTAAGCTAACCACACCACCACCGTCACCTTATCAGAATAATGTGAAACCCACCCTCGCTTCTCCTCCCCTCCTCCTCTTATTTTAACTTAGATTCCCACTCATTGTTCCCTCTCCGGTCTTTCCAACCTCTCAGTCTTTTAATATTCCATTTCACTTACTTTGGATAATTCCCCTACACCTTCACTCCACACAAGGCTGGGTAGTCGGCCTGCTAGCAATCATCAAAATCTTGCTATACTGAAAAAGGCTACCTCGGGCGGATCGGACAGTACCGGATCTGTTCAAGTTCTCGCGCAATTCTCGTCGAATTGATAATCTTCTCAACCTACTTTCTCTACCGCACCATTTCTCCTTTCGATTCTCTCGATTCTCCCCACATAACAGCTTCATCTCATTCAAAATGCGTGCTACGGTTGCTCTGCGAAGCGTCGCTCGGACTCCCCTGATCCGCTTTGTCGGTCGGCGTTCTGTGCCTCGTACGTATTATCTAGAGTTAGCTCCTGGTAATCTATTTGATTGGTGAACTAACCATGCTGTTTTCGCTCCTACTCAGAATCCATTGATCACACTCCTCGCCCTCACCCTGCTTCTCCCTCGGGCGTTCTCCCCGACTCTTTCGCTGCCTACCGCTCCAAGGCTCAGCAGCACGGCCCTCTCGGTCGCGCTTCTTTCTCTCAGGGATCCGTCGGCCGCTTGCCCGGAGCTGCTCTCGGCCCAGTTCAGCCGAAGCAAGGCGAATTCTTCGATCGGGCCGAGCTTCCCGCCAGATTCCACCGTCTCCCATGGACTGACGCTGAGATTGAGGCCATTGAGACCGGCGGTGCGAGCCTTTATGCTTAAAAAACACGCGTGGATGCGTATATGAGGGATGACACGATTGATGTGGAAGCTCATGTCGACGAACACAAAGAGACTCGCTCAATGACACGTCAGGACGGAGGAAGTGGTCACCATTGGCTGATCGGAGGTCATGGGGATGATAGTCGTTTTGCTGTTAATTACGGCTTCCAAAAGTGCCGTAGTATTGGTGCGTCAAGTGTGCCATACTTTGACCTGCAGTACTTCACTCCCGTGCTGGTGATGAATCGTCGGACAAACGACGACTGTCACCTCCGTCAACGGCTGTGCCTGGCCGCCTCTCTCCGACTGTTTCTCTCCTTTTCTTCTTTTGCTCAATTTTATTCGTCAATTCCTTTGGGAGGCGCTGGTGGTTTGCAAGTCATCGCACTTAGCGATTACAAGTTTGGTCTATTTTCGGGCGCGTTCAACACCGTGGGGTTTCTTTTGATGTTTGACTGTGGTATTTCAGGGTCTAGAGACATCTGTACATATTTCTATAAAAGTCCGCTGGAATGGTTAGACTGTTTTTCGTCGAGAGGTTCGGATTCCTCTCGCTGGTTATTGTTGACAACAGGAGTCTCAACGATGAAACTACGATGCATTTCTGAAAACCAATCACCTTTGGGCTGTCTTTCCTTGGCCCTGTAAATTGATAAGCATACATAGACGCGAAAGCTGCCCTTTGAAATGGTTGCATTGTATCTCGAGGATGATCCTGGCATGAGATATTTCCATTGTTCGTCCCACGTGTCCTGATTCGCAGGAGCGTAGTCCGTCGACCTTGGCCTGTCAACCTATCAGCATTACGTCTCTCAACTACACTCCGCAAGCCAAACAGTAATCCTCGGATTTTGTTCACTACGCAGTACAGCTTGATCTTTAGACGATCTACTTTGGTACATGAAATCTCTATCATAGACACAGAGCCTTCAAGATGGCTATAAGCGACGCGCGAAACACCATCGCGTTTACCGAAGTAGACGAGACCAACAATCCCACAGCAACCTATGTCTATTCCGAAGCTCACGAACATGCAAACAATCCACATGAGAAGAGTCTCAGCAAACGGGCAAGGGTCGAAGTGATGGTGTGTCAAGCCTTGATCTCTAGACATATACTACTTGTCACTCTCATGCAACTGCGGACTCGGCCATTTGATCTTTACTGTCAATATAGAGATGGTAGACATTGATTGACAATATACCAGCATCCTTCTTCTACTCCCCCATCGCCATGGTCTCTGATGACCTTTTTTAATCTGCTCGTCGATGTCTTTCTGCCTTCGGGGTATCCCAACAGCGTTACCGATGATTATCTGCCGTAAGCATAGCTTTCGGTTCTTGATAGGACATGAGTTGCTAATCATACAAAGGTATCAAATCTTCGTAAGGACCCAATTCGATGGATTCTCGACACCTTCCGCTGCGTGCGGTACACATGACTTTCCAAGAAAGCTGACGCCTCGCCTCAGGACTCCCTCCAGGCATTCTGCAGCTCCATCGCCGGTCTCTTATCCTCCAGAGCCGTACTCCAAGGCGTTGGCGTCGGCAACGCGAACGCCTCTCCAACCTCTGCTCTCCTCCTGCACATCCTGCAGGACTCCTCCGGCCGGATCGCCACGATCCTCTTCGCCCATCGCGTCGGGACGGCCCTCGAGCCCGAATGCAAGATGTACCGCCTCGCCGCCGATGTGTTCAACGACGTCGCCATGGTCCTGGATTGCCTGTCGCCCATGATCCCCGCGGGAGTCGGCCGCGTCGGCGTACTGAGTGCGGCGGGCGTGCTGCGCGCTCTCTGCGGTGTTGCCGGGGCAGTTCCAAGGCGAGTCTCAGTGCCCATTTCGCTCGTGGGGGAACCTCGCTGAAGTCAATGCTGTAAGTGGCTGCGGAAATCTTCGAAGGTCAGCGTACTGAACCATGTCTGTAGAAAGACTCGTCACAAGAAACGATCATCTCCCTGATCGGGATGCTGGTAAGCTTCGTCTTTGCGAACTCTTGAGATAAGCGGGACAGGTGTTCACGCGCACGCACGCACGCACACACAGGTCGGCTCCTTCGTTGTCTCCCGCGTCACAAGCTTCGCAGCCACCTGGGCCAGCCTCCTGTTCCTCCTTATTGTCCACCTAGGCATGAACTACGCCGCCGTGCGCTCCGTCCAGATGACCAGTCTCAACAGGCAGCGCGCCAACATCGTCTTTTCCACCTTGCTCGAGTCTGACCCAGCTCTGGATCTCCATGGCCTCAGTCTTAGCAGGGAAGTCGACCATGCACCACCACCGTCCGCGCAGCAATCTCCCTTGACAACATCAAGGCCACCGCTAACACCCGCCGACGTCTCCAAACAAGAAAGGATCTTCGAACCCGACGGCATCCTAAAATGGACGTCCGCTTCCAGTGAATGCCACAAACTCGGGTACTGCCAGATCGGCGTCTCCCTCGACCGGTTCCTCCGCCTGTCGTCGACAAGCACCAGCGTCAGCAGCACCACAAGCACAAAGATACGAACATCGCCTAGCCTGAAAACCACACTCCCAATGCCTGAACTCTCCTCTCTCTTCGCAAAGGAGGATTATCTCCTGTACCTCGTGCGGCGCGGAACCCGCGGCCCGGTCTGGTACGCCAGTCTCGTCCTCAAGAATACCTGCTCCGCCAGGTCGCAGCTGAAAGCCTGGACGCATGCATTGCTTGCTGCGCGGGTCTTGCACCGTTCCTCCTCTGATGACGGAGACCAGCAGGTCTTGGATGTGATAGCGCGCACTCTGGATTTCCTCAATCGCGACGCGAGGTTCGAGCGATATCTGCAGAGTCTTGAGGAGGCGGGCTGGGATTTGACTATAGCAGCTTTGGAGACAAGCTCTAGGCGGAGAATTCTGGTAAATTAACCACCAGTAGCGAGGTCGTCTATTTCATGTCTAGGAAAAGAATACATAGACCTTTACAGGGCAACTACTGGACATTGTACAGCCAAAAGGCAGGTCAGTCGTATTGGGTATCTATATACATGCCAGAGAAGGGTGTTCAGATATGCGAGCTCCAAGACGCGAGATATGTCAGCATCCAGAGTCGCAAACGTGAGTCCATGCATCATCAAATAATCAATCATCATCAAATCATCTAGGGACGACGAGGTCGACCTTGTCGCTCACCTAGACAACAAAGCAACGCCAGGACAGAGTCACCTCCCATCCAATTTTTGCAACAACCAAATTCTATATGATTTTGTGAACCAGACCAGAAGAGGAAAATGCTCGCTCGCTTGACCTCTCACAGAAACTCCTGCTATGAAAATGCACCCAAAAGAACAAATGCCATGCGTCGCACCGTTCACTCATATCCAAATAGTCCAAATGCGAAGGTATCGCTTAACAACCCAAATATGAATCCGAGTATGCATGCAGCGCGAGGGTATGCAATCGAGTCGTGTCTATCAAATGATGCAGCGTAAAATATGAGAAAAAGAGATGCCCAAGACACCTTCTAGATGGTCCGATCGCCAGATGGAGAAGGACCTCCTAGACTGAAAGAAATAAGAGAGCCGTCGGTCGATAGAGTAGCCGTTTAATCGTCCATGGAGGATCGCAGATTCTGACTGCCCGAGCCCCCGTGGCCCGAACGCTTCTTGAATCCGAACTTCATTCCCATTTTCTTCCAGGGATTCTCGGTGCGATGCTTCGGGCTGTGACCCAAAGTCAACGAGGGCTCGCTCGAGGGTGGTGTGGTCGGAGGAGTCATGGGTTCTCCAGTACTGTAATTAGACTGCATACTTCCTGAGTCGTCGGTCAGAGCATAGTCACCGCTGGTAGTGGACGAAACCTGGCCGGAAGTGCGGTTACTGGTCTTGCCCATGGAGGTGACGGCGCCGAATGAAAAGTTGGAGCGGCTAGAATGGCCAGAGGGCGGACCCGAGGGAGCCGGGGCTCCCAGCTCCCGGGAGGACTTGGGCGAAAGCCGTCTCCCCCTCTTGACCACATGTTCATCTAAACTCGAGTTCGATACAACGGTGACATCGTCCTCGTTCGAGAACAAGGGCTCCGAGAGCGGCAAAACATGTGCGGATGTAGCATGGGCGTTGAGAAAGGGGAGAAAGATGGACTCTTCCATCAGGTCGTGGACCAGTTTCACGGCGGCATCCAGTGTTTCGGGGGTGGGGGGATGTGCGAATTCGCGTGTTGTAGGATCTCCTCCCGAACTTCACTGGAAACATTGATCTCGCGGGGAGCACCGGGAAGGATGTATGCGGACAGAAGTCGCTGCCAGAGCATACGCAAATGCTGGCTTTCGGGGCAATCGGTCACAATGGGTGACTCTCGCAGTTGATGGGTTAGCGAGTGATACGTCTCCCGGTACCGCTTGGCCTCCAAAGTGAATTCTAGAGTCTCGAGGCAGTGATTTTGAGAAAGATACGCCATAAACGCGCTAAGGGTGTATGGAGCAGGTGCCGTATTCGCTAGCACCTCATCGAGTGTTGGTCGCATAGGACAGAACGCACCCGGTTGAACATTCAGACTCAGCGGACGTGAGCCGGACGAGTCCATATCCTCGTCCGACTCGCTGTCCGACGACGATGACGTCGGCGAGAGTTCGGGCGTCGAAGTAGGAGAGTTGTTCCAGAAGAATAAAGGAGGGTATAAAGACCTCTTTTTGAGCATCGCGTATAGCATGCGGCACCCTTTTGAGCTTGTTGAGCAATTTGTGTTACGGCACACAAATTTGTCCCCTTACCAGAGGCGTATGCAAGTCGTGGGGCTTCTCGTTTTCACGTAATTCACGGGTCCTCAGGGAGTCCCCAAATTCCCTGACCCGGATTGCCGAACTGATGACGAACACAGTGGGCGAATGTTTGGTAGTGGATTGGTGTTGAGTCAATCGATGTCTGCAGCCTTCCGACACGGAACCCAAGATGCAAGAGGCCGTAGTGTATATGGTTTGTATGCGTCCAATCGAAGGCGCAGAACGGTAGAAGAAGGGTGCTGACTTCTGACGTGTTGCCGTATGGTAAGGGAGCGGATGGTTATGATGATTCAGTGATCATTGAACGAGGGGCGAGGTCTGATAAGAGACAAAGGGACGGATTAGTCTGCTGCCTGCCGGGGGGTTGGTATAAGGGCGCGAATATAAGGTGGTAATAATGAAACAGAAGTTAAGAGTACAACAATGATAGTAAGACAAGAGGTATATCCTAGAAAAGGACAGTCGACATTAAAGCCAAGGTGAAAAGGTCTCAAAAAAGGCACATGGATCCAGGAAGAGGGAAACGAGTAGTTTTGAATGATAGTGAGACCGAGAGAACTGAAAGTGGAGAGAGGATTCACAATCGATGATCAGACAGACCCTTCAGAGTTCCAAACCCTGCACGGAAGCGTCGAGCAGCCGGGGGCGGTTGGGTCCACAGGAACGGCACAGCCAAGAAGGAAGGAGGAAGGAAAATGGAAGGGAAATTACAAAAGGAAAAGGGAAAGGAAAAGGAAAAATTAAAATTAAAAAATTAAAAAAAAAAAAAAAAAAAAAAAAAAAAAAAAGAAAAGAAAGAAAAGAAGAAATAATAGAAACACACCTTAGGCAGGAGGATTGGATGTATCCTGAGTTCCAGACTAACCAACAATCGAATCAAATCACGGATTGATCGATTCGACCCAAGGAAGCGCTTCTTCTGCACCGCAATCAATTTGGGAAATGACGATACTTCCCGGTCGATCGTAGCAGGGAAGGGCGCCCCCGTGGTCTACTATTAGTATCTACTCCGGAGTCTGTACTGGTCCTTGATCGAGCCGACCTCGGCGGATAAGGGGAGCCACTAGGAACACAAGGCGACGGAGAGAGTGATGATCGGACAATGATGCGAGAGCACTCTTCTGTGCGAAGAATTTGGGCTGTAAGAGGAACACAGATCAAGAGGATGAAGAGGGAGGAATGACCAGCAGTTTTTGCCCTTTTTCTATTCCGTACCAAAAATCATCCCATTAAGAAAGGTATTACTGCAATGGAAAGCGCAGAGAGGACAGAGAATAATGTCTAATAATAAGAGGAGCAAGATCACGTCATGTCTCCTCCCTAGGGCTTCAGGTCGACCAGATAAAGAACAAGAAGGGAAAATGTGCTCGTAACCCTGAACAGAATCTGGAAGCCTCTGGGTGGGGAAGCGGGCGATTGAATCGTGCTCGCCACTGGTCAACAGATGGAGGGTGGATCTTTCATCCAACTCACCACCCATGCCAGACAAGAAAAAGAGGAGAATTCCAATAGGGCAGAGACACTTACGCCAAGTGGGCCCACTACCGCATAGGACCTAAGCGCTGAGTGGCTGAGACTTGGGCACCAGGCGATTTGAAATTCTGGAATAATAAAAAGAAAAAGGAAGAGAATTTTGCTGGACCGTAGACTAGAAAAGATATGGTAGGAGTGGAGACCGGCGCCTGTCCGTCCAGTTTCTCTCTGCGCTTCTCTGCCTATCTATCTGTCTCGTGCCCTCTCGCTGTACTGTACTACTCCGAACGAGTGGAATTGGATCCCGTAGAAATCGGCCTTTGATCATTTGAATTGATGGGTTTGGAAATTGTAACCGACCGCAACAGGACAGAAAGGAGCGGGTAGGAAGGATGAAAGGGGGCGAGGAAGACAGGAAAAGGAGCAGTATCACATCAAATCGAGCAAAATAATACCTTGAGAGAGTCACGTCTATTGTAAACAAATGGGAGATGGACAGATTCCTCATTCCATAGGTACTGTACGCAGATCCCATGCGACCTTCCGCAATGGTTTATCTATCTGCTACGTTGAAACGGTACCCCAGACTTCAGCAGCAAGGGAGAGAATCTTGAGGGATTTATCCAAGGATTTACCCCAGTCTGAGTTTCACAGATGACAGAATGTTGCAGAAGTAATGAGAGTAATGATGTAGGTCTGACTATCTACACTACGGCAAGGTAGAGAGACCCGAAGCTCAAGGTATCACGGTCAATCCAAGGAGATTGGTTGGTACCGAGAAGTGTCATAGCTCACTGCAGTTCTACTCTCATAGGACTATTATTAATGACGAGATGCTGTAAGATTAAGCTGAATCCGATGATATGGAGCGTTGGATCTAACAGGTCCAATATACTTTTGCGCAAACTCTCAGAGGAGAGCACCTGATGCGAAGCTCTCCATAGGTGGCCGCCAAGTTCTCGTATCCCGACTTATGAACCGCAAGATCCAAGGATACGGAACGCGAATTTTCGTCATTGTTGTGGTACTCATGTACCTGGATAACGTCGGCGATCAGCCATTTCTTTGTTGACGCCTTCGATACCTATGGCACACGAGCCCAAAGTTGAGGAATCTGATCCATCTAATTGGGATCAGGGATCATCTGCGCTGGTCCTGACTACCGAGATAAGAAATCACGCATTCCAGTTCAACGGCTCAATAGTCATAGAGGAGCACATGTTGGCATATCCACCGATTAAATAGCTCGACTTCAAAAGTGTACGATCGCACTCACATCTCTAAGAGCTACTTACCAACGACGCAACCAACCTAACCGGAAGAAGGCACAAGAGCGTGACAAACAGTTGTGCGTTGCCCACGCAGACGTTTGATTGGCAAAAGTAGTCAGATCTACAGGTTGCCAAGAAGGCTGTGCTGCCAGAAGTAAGGGATAGTACGAGGCAGTGACACCACATACTTTGCTAGTGCATTGCTGGACTGGCCGATTGAAAACGACCCCACAGTGCTCATTGCTCACTGAGCTCACTCTTTGCTGAAGGCCACCAAGTGCTGATAGGATTGTAGAGATACTCATGTAGGAAGAGCATAACCAGTGGGTCCTGGACAAGACCAGAGCTACCCAAGCTCATGATCATCAGTGATGGGTTGATGGACGTTGCCTCTTGATTTGCGCGAGTCATCATAGCTGCATATAAGAAGAGTTCTATATGAAGCTCGATATGCGCCCAGTTTCAGATAGGACACTGTCTGACACTCCGATGTACTTCTGCCATTACATATGTTTGTGTCTGCAGACGGATATATGGCTATTGGTACCTTAGAACGCCAACTATAACGCCCAGTGGGAGACCATTTCTCAAATGGGTGTAGTCGTACTATCACCCCAGACTGCTTAATTCCTTAGTTGACTAGTACTCCGTAGATACTCCGTATCTGCAAGGGCCTGCAGCTGCAGCGCAATCAAGTAGTGGCGTGTGTGTCACTGCGTGGTTAAGATCCATTCGAGAAATGTGATATCCCTTCCTTCCATTCTGACACCTCTTGTCAACGGTCGAGGAAAGGGATGAAATGTTTCCAGAACGTTAAGGGAACAGCCAAAAAATCCCGCCCGAGAAAATAATACTGCTAGTAATGGGACTAGGTTACTTCCGGACATGCCACAAATCAGAATGTGGAAATGCCACCTTGTGAGCAAACGGGGCTGTCCATAGTCGTCAATGTGGCTACCACCTCAGCCAGTGGACACTAACAAAAGAGGGGTGGCTTGCGTGTGCCTGTGTGTATTGCACATAACGATCACCAGCGTGTGGCTAATCAACTCCCTTCTCTCTTATTATTGCTAGGGACTTGCGGACTTCGTTGGGTTATCGCCTGCCTTATCATGCCCTTGACGATAGGACCCGCAAGTCCGCAATGCAAAGCGCCACACCCATTCCTGGACTCCTGGAGACTGCGAGGGTAACCGCAGTCCTCAGACTGCAACAGGCAGCGCGCGCCTGCCTAACAACGTGTGTGGGGCCCTTGTGGGGCCTTGGCTGGGCTACATGGGGCCATGCCCCAGCCAAGACTCCAAGGTACGAAGCCCCAAGGTTTTGCGGGGCGTTTAAGTCACGAGGTCGATCCTGGGCCTTTGTTTGGCCGTTTGGAGAACTTTAGACCAATTATTAGCATCAGTGGTTTCGAGCTTGGTTCGTCGCTAATTCGTTGATTTAATCCTCGGAATGCGCTGATTGGCTTGCAGGAGTCGGGCATCTGACTCGGAAATACAGCGCTAAGGAGGTCTTGTCCGTGGGTTGACTGCTCGGTTGACGCCGATTTTGACGGCTCTAGCCTTCATCTGGTTACTTTTTTAGGCAAGTGGTGATTGTTTCAGGTCGATTTGGAGTTGGATGTCGCGAGATCAGTTGTTGGAGCCAATCAAGCCAAGACTATGTGTTGCTAGAGAGGAAGAGCATGAAGTTTGACTCTGCACTCCAGACTCTGTATACGCTCTCTAATCTATATCTAGCCTAGTGTCTAACTTAAGTATTTCCTAAGGCCAGTCTAGATCTAGCGCTTATGATAGCAGTTCATCTCTTTGCTGCTGGGTATGCGAACACTACGCCATTTAGAATTCGTACCCCTCTAATCCGTACTCTGGTCGTGGTTGAAAAGTATGGTCGCGACATCGTCATCCAGAATTTTAATCTATCAAACAAGCATTCTGACATTCCTGTCGTCGTTACACCGCAGGTTCGACCGGAAATGATGAACGAGATCTACCATCCCTTGCTAGACTGTACTCTATTGATTGAAGGTTGGTAACGCCGTGTACGACACGAATGATAGGAATTGCATCATATTCTGTAGTGCACCGTGTCACAGTGCCACAACTCCAAGCAGTAGTGTACTTATACTATGACCAATTGCAACATTATACATCTCGCAGTCCAAATCTGGATATTGCAAATCACTTATAATAAGAATCATCACGCAATGGCTTGCAAATGATGCAAGATGATCATTGGGCCTTAGACTCGTAGATATCGCTCATATGGTACGAAGTACTGAGGAAGCATGAGACGAAAATGTTGTATTATTCCAGCCAAAAGTCAAGGCATCGATCCTTCCTTTGATTAAAATTGGACTGTCAATAATTGATATTTAACTCTCGTCAAAGGCTTGAACGAACAACAGTTGAAACAGCCACGTTCAGCCTTAACCCGCCAAGCCGGCGAAAAAAAGAACAAAATCTTGGCCTTCTAGAACAATTATGGAAGCTGCCAACTGGAGTTACAAGAAGCCACATCACCGATAGTTCGTCAATAATGTACAGAGCATCGAGTTACACTTTTAGTAGCATCCTTCTTTTACATTTCTCCGAAGATACTTCTTACCTGTACCCATCAACCGAATCATCCGTTCCTTCGATTTGCCACGTACAAAATTTCAGGAGAATTGATGTGGCATGGTCATATTACTGCACCATCATCATCGGTGTAGCCATTCCTATTCTTCCCGATGGTTATCTATCCACAATTCCACTGCGGAGTACACAGATAAAAATCGAACGATCGTCGGGTCTTGGGTTTTAACGCTGTACTAGCGCTATCATGATTTTTGAGGAAATTGTTTACATCGTACCTCCCGTAGATATCAACACCGATCTTTTAGTTTTGACTCATCAGATTCAGATCTTTGACCGGCGGCTCCACAAGAAGTCTCGGTCATCCGAATTCGGACCATGGACTGCAAAAGATAAACACTCACGAACGGAGTAGATACGAGGGTCCTCTGTCTAAGTCTTCTCCGAAACATATGGGGATGTGGGTTACACCAGACCATGTCCTTAGTGAGACTATCGCCACTGGTCTGGAAAACTCTTCTTCGTTGAGCTTCCAAGGGCATGCAGGCGCTCTTGGGCCTGTCAGTGCACCCGTTGTTGCCACTTGATATTGACCATTCAACTATAAACAAGTTGATAATAGTGCTACATCAATATTCTCTACTAGACGAGAACATGGACGATGGTGGTCTACACCGGTTTCCGAGACAATCGGAGCAATTACTGAAATCGACCGCTTCTAGAATAATACATTGACCGTAAGCTCTTTGAACAAACTTTTCGTAGATACTGGCTAGTCTAGTAAATGCAGGAGAAAGTTCGGAGCTTACCGCAGGCTCCTCAGTAGCATCTGAGCTACCAGATCATACGAAGCCAAAGTATCAAGGACTTACTGGTAGGCGTTGGAGTCGGACACATCAGATCTCCTGACATTGGAGTTTTCTCCTCCATCCAATGATAAAACATTCAACATCCAAGTCTGTCAACTATGCTCAATGTACAGCGTACAGCAGTCTTCTCTTACAAGATGCATCTATCCACGTGTCGTGGGGGCAACGCCACGTTGACACTGTTGATAGCAGCATTCGTCCAACAAATCATTAGACTGTGCGAGCTGCGAAGACCAAAACCAAACACTAAACAGAACAATAGTCGACAGAACCCAACAAGCCGAGCGAGTCAAGCAGGTAGGTCGACTCGGACCTGTCCCTGGATCATCAGGCTAAATGCAATCTGCAGTGCTCCGAGACCTAATGTGCATCGGCCCAACAACGGGGACCTTGGCCTCTACTTTGACCCTCGGGTCTCGCCTATCGAGTCCTTGAGTGGAACGTCTTTGCGGCCTGGATGCTTGGATGCCCAGCAAAAGGTTGTCGAATCGAGTCTGCGCTTGACAGTTCGGGGTCGACCGGTCAAGACAAGGACCATCAGGGGAGAATATACGGAGTTGTCTAGAAAAATATTACTCTGCAGGTTACGAACTTGGGAGTGGATACTGAATACTGGGTTCAAGATCCACAATTCTCCCGTTGTTGGCAATGCAGTCAGTGCAATGCAGTCACTGCGAGCTCTGGAAGAGGAGGGAATCGATAGCGTGTGAATCGGGTGATTCTGAATCACGCGAACCGATTCCGTCTCTGCTGAATTGCTTCATGCTTCTAGCCTATTCAGGTGATCAAGCTGTGCGGATTTCATAATCAACTGCTGTGATGATGGTCTGATCTTGACAAATGGGGTGTCTCTTGAGGCTGACCTGCATCTTACCCTGTCTCAACTTCGACAGAGACGTCTGGATCGATCCTGTCTTGACACAGTTGATCATTGCTAACAGATTGTTCCATGGCCAGGGCTACCCGGGATCAACACCTCTCATCCATCTGTTGATCCGTTCTAGAATGTCTCGGTGGGGATTGTCGCACCCTCAGAAACAAGGAAATTAAATCCACACCGAAGACGCACCCATGTCACAGCACTAGGAAAGACGGGACGATCCCCACGGCAATGACTTCATCTACTCTCCACCGAGGAGATCAAAATATGGTTATATCCTTCGAGATGGAGCGCCAACTTTGAAATCGGGAGTGCAGTACGTACGCCCCTTCACCTCATCTGGCATATGGTGTGGATAATATCGAACTCCGGGTCGGGCGACGTCATATCATCCAAGTCCGATCTTATTTTGCAATTTTTACAGCGTCTATTGATTGTGTGGTGGCAAATCAAGCGATTCGCTTCACGACGTCTCGACGAGTCCATCAATATCCTGTCCTAACCGTTTTTCTTGCTCTCACTAATCTGAGTGCCAAGTCGATCACTGGTTGATCGAGTTTATCGAGGTCCGATCCCAACATGGCACAGGTTCAATCTACCGAACGTCACTCGTGCCTCTATTCACAGAGTACCTTCCCATATGGGAAGCGCCTGGCACCATACCAAGCTGGTGGAGTCTCGGCTACTCGAACATACATACTGTGTCGTAACTCCTCTCAACATCAACACCCTCATCGGACGATCCTCATACCGAGGAGATTTGACCCCCTCCCACCACAACTAACCTGACTAGTCACTACACCTTGCAACTGAAATGACCTCGGCAACGTCATGGGCTCATCTATCTCAGACGCTGGCGGCATACCATGCACAATGACGGCATCCCAGCATGTAGCCAGACGCAGTCCTAAAGGCTCGACACCACTCACTGTATGTAGATAAGAAGCAAGCAAGGGCAAGACCAGGGGTTCAACCGTTCAATATAACAGTCTATTAGACTAGTCAATAGCATTCCTCTCGCTTAACAGGAGGGCCACTTACTGCAAGCCTGCACTCCTACCTGTCGAATTAGCACTTACCAGTTACCACCTTATCACTAGTACCTTAGTGTCTGCTCGTAGAGACTAGACTAGACACCTGGCGAATCCAATCCCTGCGATTCCCCAAGTCCCGACTCTGCATGTGAGCAATCATTCTTAGATACTAGTCTTGCAGAATACCCCCTCACCACCCTCAGTAACAGGCTAGTTTCTCCGTAGGGAATTCACCAATCGTCACTCCTGAGAAGAGGATTCCCTCTGTCGATCGCTGCACTCCATCATTTAGTCGTGTCGTCTGGAATCGAGTCTCGTTGGTGTATGGCTGGAGCGTACTGAGTGGCTACGAGCTGCCTTACGTAGTATAAGTGTGCACTGCTGAAGAGACACATCAGACCACAAAATCCCTGCCATCTGCCATCGGGTCGTCTGATTCTTGCCTCTGACGTCGGGACAAAGTTTCCCTTAGTCTGTCGAGTTGTCGATTGAGGTGAAAGACCAACCCGATCATCCCATTGTTGATGATCGTTTCCAATCTCGAGATGTCTCCTCTACTGGAGAGATGTGGCACGTATGTATTAGTGTCCTTACTGAGCAAAAAGTACATCGAGGAATTCTGTAGAGCATGCATAGTCCTTCAGCTGCGATTCTTGCATTGTCCTTTCGATTCCCTAGAGCTACCTATCTGTTGGTTCATAGCCTGGGATCCTATGGGGATCTCTTCAAAGAGACCGTGATACTTAACGACTCAGGCTGAAACGCCATGTTACTTGTGAGGATAGGGCCTGTCAACTCCATAGCGAAGCGTACTTTTAAAGACCATTGACTCCTGGTTGTTATTGGTATGTGGCCGATGACTAGGTAATGATTGCTTGATACTCTCTACGCCAGCTCTTGTAGCCGGCTGTTGCATGTGTAAATGTATGACACGATTTAAAAGCACTGCCAGGAAGAAAACACACAGGCGCTATCTTCACAGAACCAACCCGCTGCTCAAACATGAATACAGGCGCAAAGATTAAATTCAAACGCGGTATTATAGGACAGAAGCATATATCAAACACGTTCCCTCTGTGACAGTTCATTCCTTTCCAGGCGAGTCATATCGACTCGCGAAACGAAAAGGAGCAAAGAGAAGGCAAGACAAAGAGCATATGGCACGATTGCGTGAGGGAACAGGCAGAATAGCGGAGCATGAACCAAGCACAAAATCACACCCAGGGACTCCCTGCAGACAGACGCTCAGGAGCAAGGACGAACGAGAAGACAACAGACAGCCACAGGCCGCTTTTGAGAGGATGACCACCATGACCAATGGTGCATCCCACGTTGGACATATTCAAACATTTATATGCTAAGCTTCGCGTGAAAACAGAGTGACTGCCCGATCCAGGCGGGAGGGACTCTTCCATCAAATGCACAAACGCCGCTTATTCCTCGGTCATTAAAGAATTACCATCGAAGGACAGCCACGGCAAGCCACATAGAGACGGAAGAAGGTGGTGTGCGATGAGGCGAGGAGCGACGCGGCGACAATCAGGGTGGTGATCAAACAAACTGCGGCAGCAAACAAGACAGAAATAGAGATCTAATATTAAATGGCTGACGCCAGAAATGCGCAATGGAAAAACGGGACAAAAAACACATATGCAAGGGCAAAGACAACTTCTCAAAGTTCGCCGTTCCGAGCCGTAGCACCATGAAATGAATGATGACTATGATGTTTGTGAGGATGACGGAGTATTCGGTAGGGAGGGTGCGAAGAGCTCCTCGTTCAATGGGCGGGTCAAGCTCCAAGCTCGAGTAAAAGATGTCATCAAAAGAAGATATAGCGAGCGTAGACAGGGCGGTTCTGTGACCCAGAACCAAGACCCACTGATGACAGAAGAGAAAGGGTAAAAAGAAGAGCATGGAACCCCCGAGCCATCGTGCACTCATCTGGGAGTGATGCCTGTATAGCCGGCTAGACCGAACCAGGAGGGTAGTAACCTCTGGCAGAAAAATAGAAATCGCAAGACCATGCTGCCTTTCAAGCCCACCAAAAATTTCGACACAAAGAGAAAAGAGCGTTGAATGATCAACATGACCACAGCGTGATATAGAATTACAGAGACACCGTTGATGAACCTTGTGTCAACCTGGAAGCTTGTATAAGCACGGAGGCATGACACTTGGGAACTTGGCAGATTCATCACCTACCGCAGCACAGCGCTTTCATCAACTTTTGGACGAAAGTAGGCTGCGGGTCATTGCCCTGAGTGCCCTGGCCTTGTTGGCTGTTCTTCGTGGGATTCGCCGGACTTCCCATGCGACCCGACAGATTCGCGTTCGAGTTCTGGAACTGCGCCTGGGTCGATGCCGTTGGTGTTGTCGCTTCCAAACCCCCGCTCTGACGTTTCGGCGGCATTCCGCCGGAGGCGCTTGGCCGGTCGCGCGTCTTCCCAGCTCCGGGTTTCGCTGGAGATGGGGGCGGGGGCTGCGCGGCGTTTAAACGGTCTGCAGTAACGCCAGGCCTCTGGCTGCCGCGGAGCTGCTGTGCATGGAGCTCGCGGGCGGACGAATTGGGAAGATTGTGCTGCAGGTGCTGCTGGGACGAATACGCCTTGTATTCCCAGCCCCTGCCGCCGTTCAGTTTCATCCAGTCATACTCTCCGTCCTCTACTTCCCCGGCGTTCTTTAGAGCTTGGGTGAGCAAGTCCCTCAGGTAGTCGTAGTCGGGGGTGTCTTCGAAACCAAGGTTGCGGACGTAGGTAAGGTACTTGTTGAATTCCTCTGCATAACAAAGTCAGTTCCATCGAACGTCTACGGCTTGCTGAACAACATACCTGGATATCCTTCGCAGAGATCTTTGATAGCAGTTGTTTGCTTCTTTTCTCCGATCTTCTCGTACTTTTGCTTGTTGGTAGCTGCCTTCAGCCCCTGCCAGGGAAGGCCACCTCGTAAGAAGTAAAGGAAGACGTGGCCCAGAGCTTCCAAATCATCCCGTCGTGATTGTTCCCGTCCCAGATGGGTGTTGATACTCATGTAACGTGCTGTACCGGACAGCGATTTCCGTTCACGATAGGGGATGTGCTGCTTGGTCTTGGGATCTCTGTATTGTTTGGCCATGCCAAAGTCGACGACGTGAATCACATTTGCAGCCTTGGTGCCCGGTCGTCCGATGAGGAAGTTGTCCGGTTTGATATCGCGATAGATCAGATTCTTTTCGTGGATTGTTTGGACACGCGAAAGCTGGTAATGCGGTTAGTATCGAGCACGCCGCAGGAGTAAAAAAGCACAGCACGCACCATCTGCTTGGCGACCATCACTACGGTCTTGACAGTGAACCGACGATTGCAATGATCGAAGAGGTCTTCAAGACTAGGACCAAGAAGATCAATGACCAAGATGTTGTGCAACCCTTCCTGGCCAAAGTAGTAGACATTGGGAATGCCAGCTGTAGTCGAGTCAGAATTATCGATCAGCCTTTGTATTGTTATGTGAACTTACGGCATCCGACCAAGATCTTGTATGTCCGGTACTCATCGCGCAGTTGAGGTGCATCGCTCTTGCGTGGTTCCTGTGACAGTTAGACCATCAGGAGTCACTGGACTCGGACTCGAGTTCGAGTAAAACATACAAACTTGATAGCCACCTGCTGGTTATTCAAGAGGTTTGTACCCTCGAAAATAACACCAAAGGATCCTTCACCAATCTTCTTCCCCACTCTATAATGAACTCCAACAACGTTGGACGACGAAGATGCCATGTTCGCAACCGTGTCTCGATATCAGCTTAGACCGACTTCGAAGTGACGACTTTGGAGAACCCCTTCAATATTATAACACGTGGAAGACGAGCTGCACTCAATTGAGCCGTCAGCAACTGAAATGACCAGGAAATGGCGAGTAAAAGTGACACCGAAAACAGATAACTTGGATCCGACTCTTGCAAGTCTACTCACAGATGATCGTCGAGCCACGTAGAAAATAAGAACAGGTTTGTTCCTTCACCAAGCGGGACCATTCATGAACGAGTTCGACGTGCAGCTAAATCGACCTTGAGAATAAAAGGCAGGCGGAAAATCGACGACAAGCCTAGGGCTGCTAAAGACGATTGCAACGGTGATACAGATGACCTGGGAAAAGGCAATCGTCGAATTTGTTCAGGATTTGTGTTCAGGGCGACTAGAAGTCGAGTAGGTTGCTCCGCGGACTGGGACTCGGGGCTGCACACTGGCAATGATTGCGGTCGGGCGAGCACCGTGGAAAATGGGAGGACGGGGAAAAGGAAATAAGGAAACGAAAAAGGGCAACTCCCGGGAACCAACAAACCAACTGCGTGGCAGCACGATAAGCCGCACTGTGCAGCGGTTGATAGGAAGATTGGAGAGCTGGAGGAGAGGGGAGACTCAGCAGGTGAAGGAGAAGGAGAGAGGAAGTTGGGGAGTTGGACAAAAAGAGAAGAGGAAACGGAGAAAGATGGAGGACGATGAGTGGTTAGAACGGGGGCCCACGCAGCGTACACCAGTCAGAAGTGCAGGACAGGATTTAGACTAGGTACCTACCTACGGGGGAGGGAAAGGGAAAGGAAATGGAAATAATGAGGCGGAGAGAGAGGGAGAGCCAGAGTTGGTCCAACTAGATACCTTGCGATCCGAGAGAGAGTCGAGAAAAGACGATACCTTAGGTTTTCAGGCAAGGAAAGGAGATCTGGTTGGGTGATTTGGCTGAGCGAAGGAAATCTTGAGTGACTGTCACTGGTCGAGTTAGGCTTCTTGAGTGCCTAAGGTACCTACCTCAGTACCTTCGGGTACCGCCCCCATGTACCGGCCAGTATTGTACAGCCACGGAACGGTAATTTTCATTGGTTGTGGCCAAGATCTTTGTGAATTTTGTCAAGGTTTGGAAATGGAGGCATGTGCAGAGTAATTCGTACTGTATCTACCCGCACATTACCTTAATCAATGAATCACCTTACGATACCTCCTGGCTAAAGTACTCTAGTGTTCAGTCTGAGACCCTCGATCCCCTGTAGTTAAGGGGCGACAAAGTTGCCATATTATTATCGCCCAGTGAGGAAGGGGGCGATGGTCAAAGTTCACAGGGGATAGCTAAGGAAAGGAAAAAGCAGCAATCCGTAATCATTTTCCGTACGTACTTTGTCCGATGTATTGTCGGGGCCGCTTTGGCTCAGGGACTCACCATTTATCTATCCGGCGCTCATAACGTTTAAAGATGGAAAAGCCGGAGTGGGTTATGCTGGCGTCAGTCTCAAGTCTGCTAGTGATGAGCCAGTAAGGAATCAGATTAGCTCAACAGAGAGCTGGAGCTCTGAGCTTGTCGAAATTAGATATCTAGTCTATCGAGTCTAGAGCCTGAAGTAGACATCTGAGTACTAAAGTTCAGTGGGATCCAGTCATCGGATCAAGTACATAAAAGGAAACAATCCATCTTAACTTTGATAAGTCGCTGAATTGTGTAAGGGAGTCGATTTGGAATTTGATCTGATCACCACCTTTTGTTACTGCGGTTACTATCATAATTTATCATTGATACTATCAGGTAAGTCCCTGCAGACTACTTTCTTGTAACCGCGGAATGTCACATGGTATTTAGGTTCGTCAGTGTCTTGGTATGTTACATAACGGTTATAGCCCGGGCTCGACCTGACAAGTACATGAGGCACAGCTACGTATTTGTAAGATGCGTTTACAATTCGATTCTGTCCCCAGCTTCCTGGAATTTACCGGTAATAATGTATACCGGTGCAAGAGCCTTTGATAAGCGCTGACGATTGGGTTTGTCGACTCGACAGTTGTTCGTGTGGCGACAACAGCAGCCTGAGTTGGCATTGCTGCGGCGGAGACGCTAAAGACATGACAGCCCCTGATACCGTTTTGTACCTGACCAGGGGATGCAGTGCGCACATCAGCGTATTTTTCCTACTCAATTCACCTCTCTAATAGGTACCGACTGGTACAGACGATCAGATACCCGTACACCCTTTATTGATCTAGAAGCGTTTCTAGGAATGGCTTCGGCTAGATCTTAAATTCCTTAACCGATAGTCGAACGGCAGAGCGCCAAACAAAACCGGCTGAGTGGTTCACAGAATCATGATCCGAATACAGAATGACGACGGATTGGCAGGAAAAAGAGGATCGAGTATGGCACTATCAACGGCACAGCAGGATCTGCCACGTCCCACTGGCCCACTATATGATGCCATAATAACTTCATCTCTGTTCTTCCTTTCCTTGTGGGCCATTCGAGTCTATCAGACGTTGTTGGCGTGAAACGCGGAGTTAGATTCATATCGGCATCTTATTGGATGATGGTTACCTGCGCAAGCCAGGGAAGGCAACTGGTCATGCATGGTATCTTCGTGACTGTCGCGCATCTGTTATTCATGTTCCACAAGAACCGGACTCGATCTATCTAGCGGCTTGTGATTAAGCTTACTGTAGAAAAGATGATTTAGAGAAGAACAATGGGAAAGTAATCGGATGCACTTTTATGTCAATTGCAGGGATGTAAAGGGCCAGTCAAAAATGACAGGATCTTGTTTACATCGAGCACACGAACGTTAGTGTCACAGATTCGAGACAGGGATCACAGTTCGTCCTCAGCTACGTCTTCTGCTTCACTCCCAAGCTCGGCCGCAACAAGGTCTTGCCCTTCATCATCTTCGTCGCCTTCTTCATCACCGTCCTCCTCTTCTTCGCTGCTCGAGCCACTACCATCGCTCTCGCCATCACTCCCAGGATCGTAGTCTTCTTCGTCCTCATCCTCCTGATCTTCGAGCTCGCGCTGAGCCTTTTGTAATTCGCTCTCCTCCGCAGCATTATCGTTCGCGGCGCCAGCAGCATCTTCCTCTGCCTTGGCTCCATTGATATTAAAGCGCTTAGCACGTCGCGCTTCTGCCAGACTCGCGTCTTGTAGACCGTGTTTCTTGATATATGCATCAATACCGGCATAGTCAGCCTGATCAATCATGGACAGCTCAAATTCCTGCGTCTCGTTTTCATCACCATTGTGAGGCCGCACCGCGATGTTGAGGTTGAAAGTGCGCTGAAGGACCGA